GGGACTGACACTGAATTTGTGTATATCACAATCTTAGACGTCCGGCATTGACATAACAATGCAGCCACTGCCAATTTTAAATAGTCGACGAATAAAAGTAAATAAATTTTATATTTACTGCTAAACTATTAAAAAAAACATAAACAAAAGATGACTTTTTGAGTAAGTGCTAGTTACTATAAAATTAACATACATATGAGATATTTATGTAACGACTTGATTTAACTTCACACATTTTTGCGAAAATTGAGGCCCATCTATAGCCTTGACCCCGCTGGTAAAGTCTTTATATGTCTTAATAAATCAATCTTTTAGACCGACGCCAGGGACTTAATAATTCCCGCGATATTAATTCCCATACTGAAGTAACAAGACTTCGGTATATACCGTCTTAAAATACTAACTAACTAAAAAGTGTGAAATAAAAAAGGTAAATTTAAAAAATCAAAAAACCCGACTGCTTAATTATACTTCAAATAAAAACTGAAAAGAAAAAAACAAGTCCAGTAGTCTATAATTCTGTTAATAAGGAACAAAGCTACTTTAACAGTCGGGACCCACTGTTGAAAAATATTATGTATTCTTGAATATCTAATGGGTCCCGACTGTTAAAGTAGCTTTGTTCCTTATTAACAGAATTATAGACTACTGGACCTGTTTTTACCCGGCTGCGCAATGCTAGAGCGCGAAGCGCGACGCGCAGACAGGGTTATGTGTTTAACAGTCTATATAATATGTATGTTTGTTCCTTTGTGGCACACTAGTGACCAAACGCCTGGACCGATTTTGATGATTCATACATCAATCGATTCGTCTCAATTATGGGAGTGCTACTAAAGATATGATAGTAATCAAAATTCAATATGGGCAAAATTGGGCGCCATATTGCGACGAAGTAAAAAAAAATAGTTGACAAAATATGTCGAGTGGGGTATCACTGTCTAGATAATCAAAAATCATATTTAGGTTCCTAACACCATTTTTCATTTATATGATTGTTTAGGATCTACAACACTTTAAAGTTGTATATTAACCACTTACGCTTTTAATTTCAATCTTACGTTTGTATGGATCTTTGTTACTCTTTCACCTAACAAATACTGAATGGATTTTAATGAAACTTAACAATAATATAGCTCATATATGATAATTACATATATATAATAATTTATGTAGTTATTGAGTGAATTGGCCAATATGTAACAATAAGTGTCACATAAGACGGAAAAAAATCTCCCATCTGCGAGCCATTTTGGCCTACACTGCAAAAACAATAAAAGTTACATGAATGTAATGTAGAGTGAAAATGTATTTCTTAAATAGTTCTAAAAAAAAGTCCGTGACACCATATATCTATTTTTAATGTGCAAGTTATTACCGCTAAAATAGTGAATCAAAACTAAAATATTATTTGATATCTATTTCCAAAATGCACATTTTGTATTAACAAATCATTTTTTATCAAAACAAATACTTTTATCGCTTTTGATATTTAAAGACGATGAACTTTGCTTTTTACACTATGTCATTTCGACAAATATTTAAAAAGTTACAACGATGACAAAGTGATAGCGCGGTGTACTATGTAAAAGAAAAAAAAAGGGCTATTCGCAGTATCTGATCCTATACGAAGCACTAACAATAAAACTGTGATACAGTTCCTTCTTATTAAATTATGAAAAGTATATTATCATAATAGGTATTTATGATTATTGAATTTTAATGAAAAACTCAGAATTTTTCTGTTTTTCATTTTTTTAACGATATTACTTAATGTTACAAAAAAGGTTTACTTAATATAAGGACAAATAACCCATTTTTCGCTAGTAAGTACATACTTATTGAAATCCCTGTATTTATTAATCAGCTCGCGATAATATTGATTTCGTAATAATTCTGCAAAATTCAAAGTAAATAATTTAGATTTTTATAGGTAAATCACCCCTTTCATCACCCTACGCCTATAAGTATTGCGATGTTGTAGCTAAGAACCAAGTTCCCATCTACTTCTATATGGGAATTCATTATATTCGATTTAGCTATTAGGGCACGGAAGCGCAACAAACAAACTCACTTTCGCATCTATAATATTATATTATACTTACTAGTGATCCATCCGGGCATTGTACGGGCGAAATTTATTTATCGGGATAAAATATAGCCTATGTCACTCGGACAAAATGTATTTAAATAAAGAAAAATGTAATAATAAATAATGTAGCTACCTTATGATGAATGAAACCGGTTCAGTAGTTTGACAGATTATTTGTTACAAACATAGAAATCTTGCCTCTTTATAATATTAGTATAGATAGTTAGGATAAGATAAGTATTTCATTGATGAAAAATATTTCAAAATAAATTAAGTAATAGGTTTGTTTGATTATATTTGTAAAAGTTACTTAGCATTTGTGCTTAACAGTGATACGTTATTCGGTATTTTTTTAAACAAAAAAAATTAGGAAAATAATAGCCATGATTGCACTACTGGGAGTACTCTTCATTCGAGCTTTACACTACCAATAAAAAAGGGTCGATCACAAAGTCTTTGACCTGTTATATGTCAACGCTTTAAAAGAAAACTACAAAGAGAACTATAAATTGATAATAAATGAGATTACTATGGTGCTCTACTTAACGTTATGAAAATTTTATTATGCGCCTTTAGTTAAATCAAATATTATAAACTTTGCTTTGGTGATTGCATAATTATTTAATTTAGTGATCTATTAAGGCAGTTGCCACCATTGTCCAAAACAACAAACGGGAATTACTGCTTTCTTCAACCTGCGACATAAACGTCATTGATTGGTATTGTATATAGGGTGATTAAAAACATTTGAAGTTAACTTCTGGCATCTACATATTGGACTTCTGTGAATTATGTAGGTATATCAAATTATGAGACTAGGGACTGACACTGCATTTGTGTATATTACAATCTTAGACGTCCGGCATTGACATGACAATGCAACCACTGCCAATTTTAAATAGTCGACGAATAAAAGTCAATGAATTTTATATTTACTGCTAAACTATTAAAAAAACATAAACAAAAGATGACTTTTTGAGTAAGTGCTAGTTTACTATAAAATTTACATACATTAGAGATATTTATGTAACGACTTCATTTAACTTCACACGTTTTTTGAGTGAAATTTGTCCCATCTGTAGCCTTGACCCCGCTGGTAATGTCTCTATATGTCTTAATAAATCAATCTTTTAGACCGACGCAAGGTACTTAATAATTCCCGCGATATTAATTCCCTTACTGAAGTAACAAGACTACGGTATATACCGTCTTAAAATACGAACTAACTAAAAAGTGTGAAATAAAAAAGGTAAATTTAAAAAATAAAATAACCCGACTGCTTAATTATACTTCAAATAAAAACTGAAAAGAAAAAAACAAGTCCAGTAGTCTATAATTCTGTTAATAGGGAACAAAGCTACTTTAACAGTCGGGACCCACTGTTGAAAAATATTATGTATTCTTGAATATGTAATGGGTCCCGACTGTTAAAGTAGCTTTGTTCCTTATTAACAGAATTATAGACTACTGGACTTGTTTTTTTCTTTTCAGTTTTTATTTGAAGTATAAATAAGCAGTCGGGTTATTTTATTTTTTAAATTTACCTTTTTTTCTTTTCAGTTTTTATTTGAAGTATAATTAAGCAGTCGGGTTTTTTGATTTTTTAAATTTACCTTTTTTTTGAATAAATTGTAGGAGCTCTCTACGTCCATATGTGTTGCACGATGTATCTGGCAAACGATTCAGAAATAAAATATAGTAGAATTTTAGGGACAAAATAATCTAGTATAATCTAGTTCCAAGTCCGGCTTTATGTAAAACTCTTGGAAATCATTATATACATAGATAATTAACCAAACATAAGTTATTTATACTGTATGACGTAGCAATCAAAATGCAGGAGAACATTTAATGTCTATTTCACATTATGTAATGAAAGGTGAACTCATGAATCATCTCTGAAGTAATTTTTCAACTTGACAACTCTGTAAATAATAATTAGGGCACAAAAATAGAGCCCTTGCTGAGTTTGTTCCGCTTCTTGTCAGTAGTCTACCGCCGTAGATTTACGTACCAATGGGATTGGTACTAGACATTCGAAAGTGCTTGTAACAGCCAAAACTTAATAAATTATTTTGAGTTAATTGGCCGCATCGTCGCTTTTACTATTATTTGATCGGTTTTACTTTAAAGTTGGATGGGAACGTGTAGTCCCTTCTTCTTTTCTTTAAGTATCTGTACATTATAAAATAAAGTATATCCAAGGAAATTACATACCGTTAGGTATATAACTTCCTTGAGTATACCTTAAGCGTCCGGTAGACAGTAGGTTTTGATGTCAGTTTGCTGGCAGTCAGAGGCGGCCTTACCGATTGCGAGGCTCCGGGCGGCAGGTCTTTGCGAGGCCCTTTGTCCTTCGTGAAAAGTATGTGATGCGAAAGTAGGTCCGGTTGTTTGGTTTAGGTATTTGTCATGTTTAAGGAAAAATGCTTAAATTATACAAATAAATCAAATTTGAATTTTAAAATATTTTACATTGAAAGATTCACAAAATTAACAAATACAGAGATGATAAATTTTAAAATTGATGTTTGCGGCTTTTCCTAAGACTAAAATCTTTAATTAAAGCACAATAATCTAGCGAATAAGCTACGTCATTTTCGATTGAAAGAATAGCGAGGGCTGAAAGCCGATCTTGTGTCATTGAAAAAATAGTTTTTTTTTTATATTTTTAAAATTTGCTTGGGTTGTTGCGCGAGGCCCCTGTAGGAGCGAGGCCCCGGGCGATTGCCCTGTTCGCCACCCCCTAAGACCGCCACTGCTGGCAGTTAAGGTTATAACTGATGGGTAACCTATCGTCTGTCTAATAGTTAGATTAAAGACTATTTAGTTACCATAAAATTTTCGTCATTTAGACTGTTGTAATTAACCTCACGAGTCTGATGGATGCCTTATAAATTATTGTCAGGCCCTGAGTGGAGTAAGCACCGTAAAATCGCGAAGCCCAACTTCGGCAAGCGCGCCATCGAGAGCTACACACCTGTATTCAACGACGAGGTCAGCTTACTGTTGGAGGAACTGAGGAGAAAGCCTCATGACCAGCAGTTCAATATATACAGGGACATTGTCAATACCACCAGCTACTCAGTTTGCCGTAAGTATGAGAATATCGGAGAAATAGCAAGAATTTTGTTTGCTTTGAAATAAGTATGAACCCACATTCACAAGTGATCCATGTTATAAAGTGACGAGCACGTTAATAGAAAGTGATTCTGACTTTATTAAATAGCAAATAAATACGCATTCCAGTTGAAGTTATTATATCGTTACTACGAGAACTATTGTATAACAGAAAAGTATTGAACAATGGATACATTTTTCACCTTACGCCTATGTGAATGTAGCAAAATAACCAAGTCAAATATTAGGCCTTGTAGAGTTAGGGCGAGTAGAGTTAAAATCTTGGTACTGATATATATTATGACTTTTTGACATTTGGAGTTATGTGGTCTTGTTTTAGCAACATATCATATAAAAATATTTTTGGTGAGATATTTATTCCGTGAATAATTTATTACTTGTTGAACAAAATGTGTTGTTGAACTTAGGGGAGGATGGGGGAATTGCGGACGCTGAAGGGAAATAACGCACAACATTCGTACTATTAGTAATAATCAGTCTGTCTTTATTAATTATTATTCTTTAGTTATACATCTACAAAAACAATTATACTTATTAAACGAGATCAATCAACAAATAGAACATTTTTAGCAAAAACAAAACCTTGTCTGTCCGTAATTACCCGTAGCGCTCGGGGTAAATTCGGACTGACCCTGGGTTAATTACGGACAGCATGGGGTATTTACGGACTAGGTCCACATCATAGACAAATATCACAAGTAAAGCCTTTAGAAGAACTTCCTGCAGTGCAGTTCTCATGAGCCCACTTGTTACACTTTAAACACATAATCCAGTCTTCGGCGGGTGGATTACTGTACTTTTCCTGACAATAAATGCAAATGTAATCAACATTTCCTTCATTTTCAAAATTATTAGGAAGTTTTGACTTTTTTAGCTTTTTAGATGTAGTTATTTTCTTTTTCTTGAGCTTTTCTTTTCTTGTCTAATTTCTTTTGTTGCTTTTCTTCTAGATTTTTTTTTCCGGTGTGCTGGTAAAAATGATGGAATGCTTTTTGTTTACTGACCGCTTGCTACGATGAATTTGTAGAGTTGGGACCTTTATTAAATCACTAAGCGGTACTGATGAAGATTGACTTGTTTGACTTGTCGTACTTTGGTTTTCGGACGTCCGTATTTACCCCGCTAGCCGTGTCCGCAATTAACCCAACTGGGTATTTTTAAATCAAAGAGAGAAATTTGTAGGTTATGAAAACGTTCCATAAAAACAAACATTGGCGATTCAAACTCCATTGACAAAGCTATCCATAGAAAATATCACTTTTTACCATCACTTAGTATACAGACCTGTCCCTCAAATAAAAAAACACTAAAAATTAGATCAATATACACTTTTTTTTTTAATTTTACCTACCTTTCAAACTGTGCGCAGCCGGCTGTCGTAAGTTTTTGCGTGGCACTAAAATAGCGGAAAGAAACAGACGACAGCACCGTGCTGCCGCGGGTAGAGGGAATGAGTGGATACTTGCTAGTCTGTATTTACCTCGCGTCCGCAATTCCCCCACTCTCCCTATAGACCAGGGTCGATAATTTTTGAGACCAAAAAAAATTATAGTAGGATGAAACCCATTAGAAAAGGTAGAAAATATAACAAAAATGAAAGGAAAAATAAATTACGGGCGATCTGAGGTCGGGAAGGGGGAGGGGGTGAGTTTTTAAGGGTAAACAATGGTTAATCTCGATTTCCGGTAAAACTGCAAGTCCTATGAAAAGTTAAATGGCAAAGTTGTAGGTAATAAAAAGATCTACCACTTTTGTATCGACACTTTTTTCACATAACCTCATAATTTATGTGAAAAATGTAAATAACCGAGTTTTTGGTTTTTGATTTTTATTTTTTGCAAAAAAAAATATTTTTTCACGAAATTTGGTGAAAACTTACCTTTGTATGTCCCAAACATACAGTAATTTTTTTGATTTAAATATTCATTTTTTCATCTTATTTTGATTTAATATCCAAAAAGCACCCTAATTTTAAATCGAAAATTTTCACGTCAAAATATCTGTTTTTTTAAAAAAGTTGGGGTGTTTTTTGTTTGTTGAAATCTCTACTTTCTGGTGGTATAAAAAAAATATACACTATTATGATAAATGTTCTCAGAAAATGCAAATTAATAATGAAAAAAACTGTATGTTTGGGACGTACTCTATGTTTTGCAAAAACAAAATGCAAAGTGTTTTTGACACTAAACAAATTAAAAAATGAGTAATGTGTTATCTAAATACCTACGTTATCATTTTTATAATCTCTTTCAGGTACCCTCATGGGTTTAACTAAGGAACAAACTATGAACATACCTGGCTTACAAGAAATTATTGAAGAAAGTCCAAGGTATAACACCAATCTCATTCGTTCAATACAGAAAATAAACTGAATTAATTGAATCAAATTTGCCTTAACTCAGTATCCACTCTCACTACACGCGTTCAAATAAGTCTAGGCTGCTAGGTACTTCGTTTGAAACTTGTACCTATTCAAAAGGATTTTCTAAAAAAACATTAATTAAATTTTAAGTATTATGCAATTAATCTCTATTACAGGGTTCAATAACACTATAAAGTGAACTTAAGAAACTTTTACTTTAAATTGATTCAAATAATCTGTCACGCACGAACGATAAATTGGCATCGAGAAAAAGTAGCCGTTGAACCAACGCCATCCAGTAATATTAATTTTTGAGAAATCCATAGGAACCTAAAATTTTTAATTGAAGGAACCTAAAATCTTCATGGAAAGATTTTAGGTTCCTTCAATATAAATGTATATTTGGTATTATATCTAAATGGTAAAATTTCAGTTAGATTTGTTAAGGGCTTTTATGCGTGTTTGAGTTCCTAACAAATATGCTATCTTTTACCAAAATATAATAATTATAATTTAAATAAAAATTATAATAAACCATTACCTCCTTAATTATCTACGAAGAATAAGCTTGGATTAATTATTCCTTGTTTTGTCTATGTTCACTGAATTTCGAGTGATATGAACAAAACGGCGTAAATAGTCTAAGCTTATTCCCCGTTTATTATTAAGGGGGATAGTTCTTAGTGTTATCAATAGCTTTATTTCTACTGTCTCCAAATTGGGCCCTTCTATTGATATAAATGTACTGTTATAATATCTAGATGTTACAGTACACAATGGCCTACTGGGAAACAGATATAAGCATCGTCATTATTTTCTTCTTCTTCACAGCAACTACAAAGTAATTTTTGATAGAATGACGAAATGGTACCTTCAGATAGATCCGGTGTTTTGGCTGACGAGTCAATACCGCTTACAAAAACGATTTAGTAAACTCATAACTATCTTCGGCAAAGATATCGTGAAACACAGAAGGGAACACCTCAAAAATATCACGGAGGACTTCAAATTGGAACATATGGAGATGGAAGAGGATGGCATGCTTAGTGTCGTAGATAGATTTATATTATCCGGTGAGCTGGATCAACCGACAATGGAAAAAGAGATATTTACTGTATTCACAGCAGTAAGTTCCTGTTCCATAATAATAAATAAAACTTTAACACAAAGTGATTCGAAAAACTTTGATAAAGTCGTTGAAGGTAGTTTTAATTGTCTTAACTCTTACGGCCGCAATCAGACTAAGCAATAAAATTTATAGGGTTGGCAATAAATGATACTGTTATTGTCACAGCCTACGACCAGTACCCCAAGTGTGAGTTGTGCCTCGATTTAATTGTAAAACGCGTTTGTGTTTGCATCGAAATTAGTATAGAAAAGTGTATAACGCCGTCTAGTGTTGCGTAAACGAAGTAATTTTTTCATACTAATTTCGACGTAAACGCAAACGTGATGGCAAAGTTTAATCAAGGCGCCATTCGCACTTGGGTTGCTGACAATATGTAGGCTAATAAATATAAAGAAATAACTATAACGGGAAGCTTAGGATGTAAGAAACAATCACTTGTCTAATGTCCGGGGAAATGTCTTTTTCCAGAGTCAAGAATCAACAGCGAAGACCGCATCGTATTTACTTCTAATGATGGCGTACCATCCAGATTGTCAGGTGGGTCTAAAGAGTATAAACAATAAATAAATATTTCTAACATACCAATTAGCCTAGTCCCCAGGTAAGCGGTTGAAGGCTTGTGTGACTTGTGTTATGGGATAGTAAGGTAACGGATAAAATACATGTTACGTGTATAAGTATATATTTCAGATATACATAGGTATAAACATCCATGACTTAGCTACGAAAACTCGTATAAATAGTACAAATGTATGCTCCTCCTGAATAAACGGCATTTTAGGCGCAGGACAAGTAAAACTTTTGTAATTTCGATAATCCCAAATAACCAACATTATTTAAAATCTTCGGCATATTGACTGATAAATAAATAACACGAGCGGGGCTGTAAACGACACTACTTTCATGTTGGAGACATTTTTAAAGCACGGCGGTGGATAGGTACTAGATAGCTAGGGATTTGAATACTTAAAATAACTCGAACAATAAAATATGACAAAGAATAAATAATTTACTGCAGTTTCAATTTTGCTTGGTGACCGAAATTTCATCGCCATCATTATGAAACAATGGTTAAACAATCAAATTCTTCAGCTTCATAAATTATTATTTATGAAATATTTTTGTCCTTCCTAGGAGAAATTATACAATGAAATAAAAAGTATTTTGGGTGATTCTGACCGTGACGTCACCGATGATGACTTGAAGAGGATGCCTTACATGGAGATGGTTTTGAAGGAGGTAGCGCGGCTGTTTCCGATCGGCGCCATATTGCAGAGGACGGTGGCAGAAGATATTGCTATACGTAAGTCAAGAAAAGAAGAATGAATACATAAATCGTGAATGGCTAATTTATCGAAGAGTCTTATGGACTTGTTGCAACAGTGCTTTTAAAATCATTCCTAGCCTATCCCTTGGCCATAGCCATTATACAACTCTTTTGAATCTTATATTTTCCCTACTACATTTTTTAAGCCGTGAAGAAAAACGGAAGAAATAACTTCACAGCCTCAAAATATGTGCTTTATAACAATTATTTACAAAATTACGTCGTCTTTATCATCATTGGTGGGTGTTGGAAATATTTATTTATTTATAATAATTATAGAAACAGCCTATTGGAACGTTTGGAGCAGTTTAAATCCAAGCGTTTGTTTTTGAAATAAAGTCAGACACTTATGAAACTTATTTAATACTTGGGTTTATTCATCAGTTCAAACATTCACTATGAATGGGTCTACTTTAAAGAAATAAGATCTAGTCCTACCTGCATGAGCCATCAGCACTTGAAGCCGCGTATTGGATTATAGTTTCTTCTGTCACTGTGAATTTGTAAAGATACTTGGACAAAGACCCTCTGTGCCCTAATCAGTGGGGCAAATTTCAAAAAAGGTCAAAAATTAGATTAAAATCTCAAACTTAAGAAACTTTAAGAGAGGTAGGGAATCGGAGCGCCCGCAAGGGGAAGTAACCTGCAACTTACAGAAGACCACCGTAAAATAACATTACCTTTTGGTGGTGTTGTGAGTAAGGTTCCAGGGCTCCCCTCGGTCAGCGTAGGCAACGACGCGAGTGATATTTTTGTATCGCAAGCGTCTAATATGCTACAGTGGCCGCTTACCATCAGGTGGACCATAATATAATTGTTTGCCAACCTTTTAACATAAACAAAACATAAATAGATAAGGGTCCTATTGACAAAACATGGTCGTTGCTATCCCACCCTAGAAAAGAAAGTTTTTTTATATACGAATTCGATATACTATTTACAGGATCAGGGTACCTTCCAGCTGGCAGCTCGATGAGCTTCTCCGTATTCCACTTACACCGCGACCCAAGGTTCTGGGACAACCCGGACGCTTTCGACCCGGAGAGGTTCAACCCGGAGAACACTGAGCGGCGGCATCAGAACGCGTACATTCCGTTCAGTTTGGGACCAATGAATTGTTTGGGTAATTAATTTTAGTTCAAATGGCAAACGGTAGGATACCTTCTTGCTGATTCCAACCCCTGTAGTTTTTGTAGTGTAGTATACAGAGATCCGTTGCTATAATGTCTTGACTCGGGATCTCCTGAAACTCTATGTTCTACCACTTCTCGATTTTTAATCATTATATGCTTTTCGCGGAAAAGTTTGATTGCATTTTAACTTGCAGGCAGGTCCTTCGCCACTAAACTAGTGAAGACGATATGCGGAAGGATATTGAGAGAGTTCGAGGTGACGTCACAGAGCTCGTACGAAGACCTGCGCTTGGCCATATACATCTCAGTGGTGGCCATTGGCGGATTCCCCGTAATATTGAAGAAACGAAATAGTACTAAGTAGTTTATTTTAATTATAAGCATTAAGGCACAAATATACTATAATTGTGTGTGATGGATAGCGTTCTCATTCTAACCGTACTAAATGTATGAAACCGATAGCTGTCTGACGTGTAACAACACAAGACGACAGATTTGTGTATATATTTCTGCCATTGCTTTATTTAAAACCACGATGAAAGTGAAACTTTTAAAATCCTGTATTAGAAAAATATGGATACTATCTAGAGACAAAGAGCTCGGTCAAGACTAATCATACGAGCTCAAACTAGATGGCGTTATGTCGTTTTATAACGGTGTTCCTATGGCCACCTTTCATCTCCATCATCAGAACAGCTACATGGTGCCATATTATTGCTTTGTTACCAGACTTACATAAGTCTGCCAAATTTCAGCTAAATCGGGTAACAAAAAGGGGTCGAAAAATGGTTTACAAATTTTGAAGCTATATTTATTTATTTATACTTAATGCACAAGTGTACAAAGGCGGACTTAATGCCATAGGCATTCTCTACCAGGCAACCATAGAGTGTTGTTTATAAATAGTGGTAGGGTGCACAACTTACATGGAAATTACAGAAAGAACATATATAAATATGAAGCAGTCATATATATAATCACATACATAAATAATTACATATAAATAACTATACATATACATACATACACATATAAATATACATACTAATACATAATAATGACGACTAACGTTTAAGCTAGACTGCTTGTTCCTGTAAAAAGCTTCGTAGCTTGGTTTTGAAGCTAATTTTGTTGGTGGACATTCTAGGGGGAGTTCGTTCCACAAGAGTGTAGTTTTGACGAAGAAGGACAAGTGAATTATATCAGAGCTATATGTTACATACTAACGGTGCAAGTTAAATAAAAACTTGTAAAAATAAGTAATAACAAATGAAATTACTTGTCGTAAGATTACATAATGTACCAAAATTATTTTATTTATTTTTAAAAGGACAATGTTAAAATTGGCCTAAGAACCAACACCAATTTGGCATTTATGATAATTCTTAGTATATTTTTTGCGATAATTATCAGTATTTAGATTGTGACGCACACTTCCAGTTAAGTAAGCTAAATTAAAAAGTAAAAAAATAATCTGAGACAATAAATACCATTTTATGTGTATAATCTATGGCAGCGCTGCAAATAAAATACTCTTTCTTCCTAATGCCGGCACTTCACTTGGCTATTGGTATTTGCTATTTTAAAACATGACATCAGTCTGTCCTCTTCATTCCTTATTAAGCATGACAAGGACAAACTGTTGTCAAGTGAAGGGCCGGCATAAAACTCGTTACACTGTGGTTTTGGTGCATGCAGTTTGCATTCGTAGTAATCTGTGGCATTCGTTTATAGTGATCTGTGATTCCAAAGAGTAGTTTAATAAACCGGAAAGTGCATTCTCGTTTCGGATTACCTGTTGTGTGTGTTTATTTGCTATTGTTTTTCCTTTAATTTAACTATTTCGGCTAAATAATATGCCATCGATGTTACCAAAGAGCAGAGCCCTTATTACCAAGTGCTAGTGAATCTGTGCCACAACATCCTGAGAGGATCAAACTGCCAAATTATTCAAAAACACCTGATACACATTCACGCTGCATATTTACACAATATACCTACATGTGGTTGTATTGTTTATTGTATTTATTTGTGGTACATACAAATAAATACAATAAACAATATGATACAACTATGTGAAAAATAGTCAGTAAATAAGAAGCAAAACTACAGTTTTTATTTTATTCATGATTCCTACCTAACCAAGTTTTTCCTAATAGTTAATCTTTAAAATCGCACCGAATAAAATGAATTAACTAGGTGTAATATTAATTCACTTCATACTGAGTTTATACTAAATTCATAGGTTACCTATGTTTCATTGAATATTAAACATAACCTCAAAAAAAATTAGTTTTCCTAATAATTGAAGTTCTCAGAAGTGTCCGTCAATAATCTTTGTTTTTACAGTCATTTACTGACGATTTTGGACTTAGAAAATAATATTTCATGATTGTTGGTTCTTAGGCTAACTATGTATGGACGCTGAACAATGTCCTTTGTACGGAACCCTCAGTGGGCAAGTCCGACTCGCACTTGTCCGGTTCTTTTTGAAGTGGTTTGGTAATCAAATATAATTTTAAACGCTGCTTAAATACATTTTTGTGTAGTCGCAATTACCTAGGAAAAATGTGCTACAATTTATCCTTGTGATCACTAAGAGTGCGTTGTTTGAAACATTCATCAATATTTAGTAAATATAATGTGTATAATTTTGGCACACGGTTATTTTTCTGTATTATTTTAACTATAGTCAAATTTAACTATGTTTCAAACAATGCGGCCTTAGTAGTATATTTATCAGTGATAACATGTTAAGTATATCGGGCACCTAATTTAGAAATATACTGGGTTTCCAAGTAGTTACTTACTGACTTTGCTTTAATTTTAGATTGATTGTTTTATTCATGATTACTTCGAGTGATAGATAAATGATGAAATTGTTTTTTTACATAAATAATATTTTTAGATATATAGTTACCTATTATAAGGGGGGGTTATATATAAGTTTACGGATTTTTTGATAATTTTATGTATGTAAAAATCAGAAGGCAGCACAATTTAAGCTCAATGTGCAATATTTTGGAAGAATATAAAACAATGTAAACTGTATACCTGTTTATTTGTTTCTTAGGTTTTCACGCACACCACTCATTAAATAAATTAAGTTTTTATATGTACTGAATTTATTTATTTATTGACGATTCGCATCCTTTAATAAAAAGTCATTATTCTGACGACGGATTCCTGCGTCGTCAGAATAATGACTTTTTATTTACTTTATAAACTCAAATTCTTATCTCATGATAACAGCATCACATTCTAAGTTGCCTGCGCATCACATTCCAACTCGCATACAAATTTGTCTCGAACATGTAAAATAACCATAAATCAGATAAAAATTCCGTTACTCTAGTTTTAGATGCTCATCTTACTGATCACTCTCCTTTATTATTCTGCACTCGGACGAAGAGCAGGGCAGAGCAAATAATCTACACAAAAAGTTTACATTAAAACGTCTGAACATCCCGGCTTGTGTAAATGACATTGAAAATATAGATTTTTCTGATGTTACTAACAATGTAAATACTAACAAATCCGCTAACACTTTTATTTATGAATTATCTACCGCAGTCGATGCCAATACAACCATTGTTTATATCCTTAGTAGAAAGCGCATCTCCAAGCCATGGATTACTCCAGGATTGCATCGCTATATTTGGCATAGAGATAGACTTTATCTTAAAACAAAAAAGCATCCAAGCAACGACGCGTTTAGAATTCACTAAATGTAACAAAAACCCGAAGAAAGTTTGGAATCTGATTAAGAGTACCACTAATCTCAAGCAAACTACTGCATCTACTTATAATAAACTTGTACAGTGACAGTGTCGAAAGATCCTTTAAAGTCTTTTAACTTTGTGAATACGTATTTTGCTAGTGTTGGAAAAAGTTTAGCATCAAAAATTACCAAAGGCTCTGTAGAAGCTTCTCTTAACTGTCCTATCATAGATTGTAATATTTCTGAAATGCACTCAAAGGTTCTGCTAGATACCCATGACAAAGAAATTTAAGATATAATCCTGGGGTTACGAATGGATTGTGTAATAGGCTAGGATGGTATCTCTAATGTATTGATAAAAGAGTCAAGGCATGTTCTAATTCCAGTATTGACTCAACTTCTGAACCTTTGTTTCCCTACTGGTTCTTTCCCCTTTCCTTTAAAAAGGAATAGTATCCCATTTTTAAGAGCGGAGACAGATACAGTGTAACCAATTATAGACCAATTTCTATTTTATCAACTTTATCAAAAATCTTTGAACAAATCTTAATAGTAGACTAACTAAATACGTGAACTCTAAAAACTTATTGGCTCCAAATCAATATGGTTTCAGACCAGGAAAGTCAACAGAGGATGCTATTTTGGAGCTCACTAGTACAGTATTGAATAACATTACTAATAAATTAAATTCTTTGTGTGTTTTCCTAGATATTTCTAAAGCTTTTGACTCTGTGTCTGTCCCCATTCTCTTACGCAAACTTCAGAGTATAGGTTTTAGGGGTATCACTTGAATTATTAAAAAGGTTCTTAAATGGGCGAAGACAGTGTGTCCGGATAGCTAATTATACAAGTCAGGAAGAATCAATTGAAAATGGTATACCACAAGGTAGCGTCCTTCAACCTACCCTTTTTCTAATATAGATATATACAGGGCCATCCCACGGCAACCTCACACGGAGGGAAAGTATATTAAATATTTAAGATAGGATATTTTACTGAAAAAAGACATCATTTTATTTTTAATAAAAACTTGAACTGCATTCACAGATTTTTTTAAAATTGCCTGCTACAACTGGGAATCATACTCGTGAAATTTCGGATAAAATAAACAACATATTTTATGATAACCATCGAAAGGGTTAATCATAAGAAAATTTTTTTGCTAAATAACATAGCAGCATTTTTGAAAGGAATTTTAAGGAAAAAAGGAGAAAAAAAGAAATTGAAAGGAATGTCTTATTACGTGATAAAAATAATAAAGTGATATACAAAATGAAGTACGTATGCATTTCTTTTTGAACTCACAGTTACAATGCGATTGCCTGAAATTCATAAAAATAATAATTCGAAAATGGAACATAAATTTTCTGTTTTTTGTGAGTTTCATATTCGTTTATTTGCATTTTTTTTGTTAATTACTTACCATGGCGTGTTAAAATAAAATGAATTTAATGGAAGCTTACTTTATGAACCACAAGGACATATTAACTTTGCGGTGATACCGCGAAAGATATCCTGATAGAGACGTACCTTCTCAATATTTGTTTAAAAGGTAAGTGGATAGTTTAAGAAATTTAGGACGTTTTGATATGCGCTTACAGAAACCACAGCAGCGGATGATAAACGACAACGATGATGAACTCAACATTTTAACTTACTTTAAGGCGTATCCGATTTTATATTAGTTTGTGTTAAATAATTTTGAATAAAATGTTTAATTAAATTTCTTTCATT